TCTCTCTCTCTCTCTCTCTCTCTCTGTGTGTGTTACATGCTAAGCCTGCACACGGGCCCCATTTTGGGTGCCCGACGATTGCTGGGGGTTCCCAGGCCGCACGTCCCTCAGACGCGTGCCCTGGAGGCCCACGACCGGCCTTAGGGCCACAGGTTTCGATTTGAGGCAGCATTCATTCATTTATTTGTTTATTTATTTGCTGTTCTATTTTTGTCTGTTCAGGCGTTGTTTCGGACTCGCAGTTCCTCCGAACAGACCGCACAAAGGCCATGTTTTTGGCCTGGTATGCAGAGTAGTCACGCCGACGGTCAGCGGCCCTCGACCCGTCGGCTGCCTACCAGCCGACGGTAGGCGCCGTCGGCGCCGACCAGTAGGCACCCCACAAAAAAAAATTAAAAAAATTGGGGTCCAGAACCGCAAATAAGTTGAAATAACCTCATCCACAGCCCCATAGCCCCCTATACCTCCCCCTAATACCCTCACCCCTCCCCTTTACCCCCTACAACCCCCTATAACCCCCACCACCCCCCAAAAAAATTATTGTGGATTTGGGCTGCTCTCCCCAAGCCGCACAACCATAATCAGAAAAAAAAATAAAAATAAAAAATTGGCAGTCTGCCGACCGCCGATGGGTGCGCCTACAGGTCGGCCCGACTGGTAGGCGCGCCTACCGCCTACGGTAGGCGTAGGCGGTAGGCGCCAAAACAACCCTGCTGGTGCGGACATAGGCAGGCCCTGTTGGGCCAGGTCCATTTTCGTCCATTAGTGGACGTCCCTGCTGCATCAGCAGGGAGGGTCTGGACGTCCGGTCGGGACCCAGACCCAGTAGGCCACGTTTTGGGCTGAAGACCAGAGGCACACGGAGGCACACCCGCGAGGCCCAGCGCTACTTATAGCTGGGCCACGCCTAGGCAGACACAAAGTTCGAGTAGCTCACTTCTTGGGCGACATGCTGCAGGAGCAGCACGACAGCGCTACACTAGAGGTAGAGGTGTGGGTAGGGAGTGAGGCGGAGGCCATACCTGCGTCGGCGGAGATCTTACCTGGGCGCCATAGCTGGTCTTCATGCCAGCGCCCTGCAGCACAGAGGAGACACCGAGGCGACAATTAGTACATGGTGGCAGTTACCTGCAGGTGAGATAGCGAGGAGGACGACACCTTCTTCTTGTCCTTGCTCTCACCCTCCATCTCTCCTTCTTCCTCCTTTCCTCTCCTCCTCCTTCTTCTTCTCCTTCTTCTTCTTCTTCTTCTTTCACACACACACACACAGAGAGAGAGAGAGAGAGAGAGAGAGAGAGAGAGAGAGAGAG